AACAGCCAAAAAAACAAAACATAATGAAACCCAACCCAAACCAAATGCAGAAAACCATCTCCACTCAACCAAAAATAACAATAACAATGGCGCAGTTACTATTATCCTTTCAGAATCAGGCTGAGAAATAAGTGGGGAGGAGGGGCTGGGGGCGCCTACATAAAGCCATTTTTGTTCAAAGCCATTCATAATTCTAAGATGAGACTGCTGTAACCTAAGCTTGGAAGTCCTACCATGGCCTCTGACATGGGAGCATTGTTTGGCCAACACCCTGTCAGACAATTTAAAAAATTTTTTTAAATTTTTGTTAATATTTAAAATCCAAGAGATATTATTTACATAAAAATTTTTATTTTTTTACTTCTCTTTGCAAAATCAAAGATCAGGCTCACTGGGCTCCTGCTCTTGTACAGTAGCATTGGCAAGAGCCTCCCCTTTAGAAAGAGCACATGAATCTCAGTCCCTACCACGCCCTATTGCCTTCCAGCTTGGTGCCAGCTGCCATGTAGCCTTGTGCTTATGGCCTTTTCACTCACAATAAGAGTAACACAATTACATGGTTCGAAAGTCAAAATAATGTACAAAGCTATACAGTGAAAGGCTCCACCCTACCTTATCCCCACCCTCCCTAAGTATTGTTAATTTCTTCACATATTTTTCCCTTTTTTCCTTACACACAGTAATACAATATATATTTTTTTCTTGCTTTCTTCACTTAAAAGATATTAATTGATCCAATAGTAGTATACAGAGAATTTCCTCATTCTTGTTTCACAGCTGCCTTGTATCCCAGTGGGTGGATAGGTCAGTTTATTTAGTTCTGTATTGATGGACACAGGTTGTTAGTCTTCCACTTTTACAAACATTCTGGGTTGAACGATGTACATATGTCATTTCATAGGTGATTAAGTCGGTTGTGCAGGATAAATTCCCACAACTGAAACTGCTGGGCCAGAGGATAAATATGCTCTTGACCTTTTTAGGTATTACCAAATTGCCTTCTCTAAGGTTGTACCATCTTGCACTCCAAACAGCAGTTCAAGAGCATGTATTTCCCTTCAGCTTCCCCAACAGAATGTATTATCAAATGTTTTACTTTTGTCATTCTGACAGGTAAAAATTCTGTTTCAACGTGGCTGTGATTTGCAAGAAATCTTTCCCCACATGTTTGAGACACCTATGTTTCTTTTCTTGGTCTATTCCATTGTCCTACTGGATTCCTCTTTCTGCTGCTGATTTTCATATTAAATTCTTGATTTTTTTTTTCCTGTCAGTTTCTAGGAATGCTATGTATATATTCAGAAGATAAGCTGTGTATCTATGACCTGATACATAGCTGCAAATTCTTTTCCAGTCTGTCATTTATCTTTTATCTTTGTTTATGGTACGTGCATGCGTGCGTGTGTCCTGGTTGTTGTTTGCCACGCAGCCATCTTTTTTGGTTTTGTTGTGTTTATTAAGTGTAGCTTTATTTATTTATTTATTTATTTATTTATTTATTTATTTATTTATTTATTTATTCATTCATTCATTCATTCATTTGCTGTTTGCTTCTAGCTTTTGAGTTACAGTTTGAAAGAAAAATCTCTCCCATTCTAAGATTAAAACTGATTTTACCCATATTGTCTCCTAGTAATTTTAGTTTCTTACATCACATTCTTAAAAAATGTAAATCTTTGATCCACTCAGAGCTCGTCAAGGCACACATTGTGTGAAGTACAAACTTTTTCCTGCTTAGGTGCTTGAACCCAGATTTTGGGCAGGATGATGAAGCTACCAGAACATCGATAAAGGTGAGACCTGAAGAATGGGATGGGAGAGCAGCTGATGAAGGAGAAGTGGGGCGGGGATGGCGGCGGAGACTAAAACAAAGCAGCATCTTCTATAGGAGTTGCTGGCAGATGGGTTCCCGTTACTGGTCTAGCTCAGTAGTACCCAGGGCCCCTTTTATTACTTTTCTTTGAAGTACCCACTTTCATTTAAAGATTTAATGTGTTCAGCCAGTACCAAACTAAATGTGCTTCAGTAATAATTAGTTATGTTGCCCTTTTAACAAACTCATTTACAGCTGCCAATCAGTTTCTGGTCAGAATGTGCTAACCAGAATTACCATGCTGAGCTGGTGTACTCTGAGCCAAAAACACAGAACTTGGAAGGATCAGTTAGTTTGAGGGGGCTCATCTTGGATAAATGAGCCATTTTCAAAGGCTTTCTGAAATGCTGACATTGGTTTGAATACAGCTTATTTCTTTGTTCCTAGATGTCTAAGGAAGTGGGACCTCAGTGGGGGACCCCTGATCTCACCCTCATTCAAGACCTATTAGTGCTCTATGAAAGGGCATGGGAAAGTGCAGACATCCCCCACAGAAACGTGCACAGCAACCTCCATGATATATACTTCATAGTTCTCTTACTAACTTTTCTCCTAGAGATGCCTTGTGACAGGTCCTTTAAAAAATTGTTCCCTCAGGTACATAATTCCCTGAGAAAAACATAGTAAAGATGAGAAAAGATTGCAAAGGTGAATGGTAAGAATAATTCTACAATAAAGTAAAAGGGCTTTTCAGTAGTAAAACTGGTTTCTCTGCCTGGAGCAGAGGCCTCATGAGGAACCAGTAAGAGTGAGATGCTTATCACAGCTCCCCATCATCAGGAAGCCATGCCAAGATCCTTTCTGTGGGTAAGTGGGCACCCACCCCCAGGCTGCACCCCAAAAATTAATTCAGAACCTCTGGGGGTGAGACCTAGGTATCAGTCATGTGTAAAACTCCTCATATGGTTTCAAGATGCAGTCACTGCCCTAGAACTACTTCAAGTGTGGTCCTCAGACCAGCAGCTTTGGTATCAGTGGGTGCTTCTTAGAAATGCAGAATCTCAGGCCCCACCTTAGACCTTCTGAATCAGAATCTGCATTTTAACAAGATCCCCAAGATATTCATGTGCACATGAAAGTTAGAGAAGCAGTGGTCGAGAGAAGCATTTCTCAAAGTGGAGGACCATCTGCATCAAACTCACCAAGAGGATGGAAGGGTTGGGGGATGGGGCTGTGGGGAAAATGGACATTCCTATGGCCAGGATCCTCACCTGACCCTAAACTACTTGATGATACAATTGGCCTCCTGCTAGGCTACTGCTTCCACACCCATAGGCAAGAAGCTATTATTGACCGTATTGCAGAGGCAGAGACAGAGGAGGATTACGGACCTGCAGATCGCTGGATGTAGATGTGATTCTAGTGCTTGACCTACCTCCAGGAGAATAAAGCTGGGTATAAACCCTTTTATCCCAGGAATGTTCATTCCATTGTCATTTTTTGGTCTCACTGAATTCACAGTGAGTTTACCCAAGGCTGAAACCCTCAGACAAGACAAGGGGTCAGGGGACTTCTTAAGAAAACAAATTCTGGAGATTATAAATCTGAGGGCAGGGCCCTGGAATCTGCATTTTTAGGGTGTTCCCAGGTGATCCCTAAGCTTACTGTTTGAGAACTACTCCCAAGAGGAAAGCCAGAATCTGGCAGTTGCTTTTTTCCAGCCTGTAAGGAAATTCCTTCAATGACTCTAAAAGGTCAAAGCACACCCACTGCAAATTGGGGATGAGTTGGTGATAATCTGCAAATGCCTCTCAACCCTAACAAATGTGGTGTTTCTGGTCTTTGAACTGTAGCAGAGTGGGTGGTGATAGTTAAACCTAGCTTTTAGATTGACACAATAATGGGTCTCTTCCCTCTCTTGTGTTAGTGACTGAACAGGCTGCAGTTTGGATACATAAGCTTCTACCTAAAAAGCAGGATTAAAAATATAAAATGTTGATGCTCAAATGTACCCTTCTTGGAGGGTTTCAAAAAAGCCTCAAAATGCAGAGTAGAGAGCCCAGTGAGAGAGCTAATTTCCCTCAGGAAATTTCTTCATTTCACAGAGGTCTTTGAAATTTTTGCTTGGGCCCAGATTTTTAAATGATAACATGGGTAAAAAATGATGCCAGGTGTAGAAAAACTGATCTCTCTTAAAAGATGTGTTTGCAGTGTGTAGTACTTCCACATAGTTTAAAAAAGCATTTCGGCTCATGAAAGATATTTTAAAAGCTTCTATAAGAGAAGCTTTAAGTGGATTTATCTTCAAAACACCGAGGATTCTGAAGTATGGCTCACACTTGACTTGAAGCGACAGAACTGAAATCTTTGTCATTATAAAGTGAAATCAGATCGTTGTGGTTGTAATAGATAATGGAATGGGGAACTGCAATGTGATCTAAATGTAATGGTTAGATAATTATTGAGTTAAAAATCAGCAAAAGCAAAGAAACTTAAAACTGGAAAAGAGATTTTTGAGGATTTGCTTTAAAGATTATCTTTAGGGCAGTGTTTCTCAAATATTTTGGGGCGAATGCAATTGAGTCCTTCCGAAAATCTAATGAAAGGCTATGGATTCTCCCCAGCTGCACACGTTCCCCTGAGTGCGCATACTGGCAATTTCTGGCTTTCCATAGACTCCGTGGAGCCGCTATTTAGAAACTCAGTTTTGACACTGAATTTTAAGAAAATTGCTGTATATTAACGTCTCCTGTTTGGAACCACTTTAGGTCCAGGAACAACTTTCTCAGCATCAAGGTCCCAGGAGGCCGTAAAATTAGGGCTGATTGTTTTCACTTAAACCAAGACAATTAACTCAGCAATCTCATGGGGATAGGTGAAGGCGTGGTGAAAAGCAGGACTGCTGGATTTTGCCAGGAAAAGAATCCCATTATTGAAAAAGCCTGCGCTCTTTCAGAAATACCTTTCAGGGCTCTCAGAGGGCCCCAGTGAGGTGCACAGGTGATGCCCAGTGTCCGCTGCAGCTCCCTTCACACCAGAAAGGGACAACTTTTGTCCAAAGTTGGGAAGGAAAGTAGGCTCTTTAAAACATGGCCAATGCCCCACATTTACCCTCAGACTCAATGACGTAAGAGGTGAAAGGCTTACCCAGTCACCCCCACCCCACTTCATAGATAAGGAAACTGACCCCAGAGGGCTAAAGTGCTTGCCACGGTGACATCCCCCGGCGGGCTTACACCCAGGGTCTTCTCCCCCCAGCACCTCGCCATCTGGCCAGGGAAGGAGAGGGCTCTCTTTCCACACTGCCCGCCGCCCACCCCGGCGGGGGCGCTACGGGGAGCCGAGCCGCCGCCTACCGGCACCATGGAGTAGGTCATCATCATCATCATGTCGTGGCTCTCGGCGCGGATGTGCGGCGCGGCCTCCCCGGCGTGGCTGCGCTTGTTGCGCGCGGCGCTCACGGGGTCCGGGACTGGGGCGAGCGCCCCGCGGGGCGCGCGATTCAGCTCGGCCAGGAAGGAGCGCAGGGCGCCGTCCTCGCGCTGCTCGCGGCCCAGCTGATCCTCCAGCGCCCGCAGCGCCGCGCTCAGCCCGCGCCACTGGCACAGCACGAACACGGTGGCCGCAGCATTGAGCGCCGAGAGCAGCGCCACGGCCGCCAGGGCGCCACGCAGTGCCCAGCCCGCACCCCCGCGGCTTCTCTCCACGCCTCGGGCCATGCTCTGCTCTCCTCGAGCTCCAGGGTTCGGCATCCCCCGCCCGGGCAGCCTTTATACACCACGGGCCGGCTGTGGGCTGGTGGCAGCGCCGTGAGTCACGCCGCCCTTTGGCCTGGCTGGCGGGGTGCGTTGGGGACAGTAGTACCGGTGGCGCCCGAGCAGCCCGGTGGGACAGGCCGGCAGAGAGAAGAGGAGCCGGTGGAGACAGACTGTGGAGGGGGGGCGCGCAGGGCTCCCGCTCCCGCTGCCGGGCCAAGCAAACCAGCCCAACCGCCTTTCCCTTTCCTTCCCCGCTGCCCTGCCCATGGGCATTGCCCTGGCCCAGACAGGCAGAGCGAGGGCCAGACTGAGGGGGAGAGCAGGAATTCTTCTGGCCTGAGAAGTGGCTGGATTCCACCTCCTCCTCCGCCCATGCCGATCATCCTGGAGAAGGATCAGCAGGCTCAGATACCAAGGCAGCGCCCACTGCCCTGGGAGGTCTGCTGCTGGGCCAGGGCTTCTCCTTCCCGTAGTCACAGGGCCCCGTGTGGCCGCCAAAGACCCCACCAGGCTTTCCAAGGAGCAGGATGGATACACAGGGAGACAATGGCTTTGGATGGTTAAAAAGTCCACCCATCAGAACCAGAAAAGCCTATCCCTGCCTGGCAAGCAGGAGTCATTAGGGAAGGGAGATTTGTGACAGGATGTGACAGGTGGAGAACTCACCGTGAGACCCATACCCAGAAGAGAGCAGGGTAATGAGAAAAAAACCCCAAAGTGGAAATCAGGAGATGTGGTTCTGACCCCCTTCTGCCACTGCCAGTATGTATGTCCCCTGCCTCCCCCCCCACCCCCACCACCACCACACGGGACTGATCCTCAGGTGATTTCTGGCTGCAGGACTGGGGCTCTGGTCAGGCACCTCTGGACCTTATGTAGCCTGCCGTGCATGAGGGAGCAGTTACCTTATGCCTCCTAGTTACCTCTTCACACCCCTCTCCCTTTCCTGAAGGGCCACTGTCCCCCAAATGCAGAGTCACTTCTCAGTCTCCTCAGAGGACCACCTTGCTCCCTTCCTTCTCAGCTTGCCCCAGAACAGCTCTGCCTCCTGGGGCTCCAAGGCCTACAGGAGGTATGGGAAGGCCCCAACCAGAAGCCAAGATTGCTGTTTCCACTATCTGATTATCTCACAAGAGGAGGTGGCTCTCCTTGCTATCAAGTCAGCTGGAGCTGTCAAGGATTTATGCTGACAGTCTGGATTCCTAAGTTTTATTTGGGACATTGGCCAACTTCCATATTCTTAGAAGATCATCCAGGTTGAGGTGGAATTAGAAAAGCCTGAAGGGTGGGGTGGTTCCTGAAGATCTCCAAGGATGGCAACATGATGTCTAGGAACAGATGGAGGTGATACAACTTTGTCCATTTCCTCCCAACTCTGACATTACTCTGATCTATTTGGAGAATTGCTATATATCCTTTCTCCTTTCACCCAGGCATAGGTTGCCCATTGTCAGGCTTAAGATTGATGGGAGAAGCCACAGAGAGACAAGAGTTGGGAGTCAGCCCCTGTAAGATCTTCATTTAATTCACTAAAAACCTCCTGAGCATCTAGTGTGTGTCAGGCACAGTTGGAGGTACAGAAATGAACTAGGCAAGCAGCCTGCAGTGTGAGTACTTGGAGTCCCACGGAGCCTCGTTAACTTTTCTTTATCCTAATATTCATTATAATTACTGTTGCCTAGCCATCAGTCACTAATGTCCACAGTCAGCAACAAAGTATACAGTTCCTGAGGTTAGAAGCCACATCTTGTTTGACCCTGTCTCACCCAACACCTAGCCCAGTCCCCCAGCTTGAAATAGCCATTCAGTGACTACCTGTTGAATGAGTGAACAAAAATGAATGAATGTAAGGCTTTACAGTGAGGGCATGTCTATGTGGTGTAGTGTGTGTAGTGTGTAGTGGTGGTAGGGCTTAAGAACAAGCTGCTTATGCTCTAGAACTGGTCCACCTTCCTCGGAAGGCTGCCTGTCCGATGGTAGAGACAGTGAGTGTCACCTGACCTCCCCGGGCAGTCCCTGTGGCTCAGAGTTGTTAGCCAGTAGAAGGAGTGGACTATAGATCTACTTGCAGCCAGCCACAATTTATCTGACAACCTCAGGCCAAGAGGTTGCCCCTCCTGGGATGCAGAACTCAAAGGCTTGTGGTGTAGACTGTGGGCTGGATGGGTGGAGTCCCTGAGATATTGTAGTGGGGCCAAGAGAGAAGCAGAAAGAGGGTAAAGGAAAAGCCAGATTCCTTTTCTGCCTGATCCTTCTCCCAAGTCTCTCCAAGTCTCTCTGTGTAGGAAAGTGGTATTTTACAAGAAAGGAGAAGCGTGGGGCATATTGACACAAAGCAGATATCTTCACCCTCCCTCACCCCAAGATGGCTGTTTCCAAGCACTTGGCCTTGCCCTGGTCTCTTCCCACTTCCTCCTCAGTCCTCTCTGTGCACCTTCTCTGCACACAGCTCCACTCATGGACTTTTCTCCTTCTGTGTACTGTCTCAGAGTTGCCCCTGTTGAAGGCCCAGCTCAGAGCCCCCTTCCTCACCAAGCTTTGTCTTCCATGCCCGCCACAAGCTCTCCCTCCTGAACTCTGCCAGTGCCAGGGACTCAGAGGTTATGAGCATGGGTTTTGGCATCAGAGAGCTCTGAGTCTGAAAACACTTTTTAACTTTGTGACTTTGGGTGTGTTATTCAACTTTTCTATGGACACTCTAAGCATATATATTTCATAGGTTGAGATGATTTAATGAGAAAATATGTGTAAAGCACTTGGCATATAGCAAATGCTCAGACACCCACACCGTGCCTTCTGCTGTTGACCAACATCTTAGTTCTTCCAGCTCTTTAGCTGGGTTATAGTACGCTTAAGTAAAAGACCTCTCTTCACTGTGTCCTTCACATCAAGAGCTTGTGCCAAGTAGGAATATTTGATTAATTAACCAATTTATAGCTAATCACACTTTATTGATGCTTTTTGAGGAACAGAACTTTTGAATGCATCGTAAACTTGGCCTCTTGTGAGTACAGTGGTTTTGAGATTGATTAGATGCAAACCTTCCATCTCTGGTTTCAGTCTAATCCTCCTGCAACTTCTTGAGGGACAGATACATCTATGTGGACTTCCTTGCCTAGTATTTCTCAGGATAGGCCTGCTTACTATTAAAAAAATTAGTTATTAATCTGGCCTGTTTTGTTGACATAAGGAGTTCAAGATACAGTGAGGACATGGGGAGATATTTGACTTTCCTCTCCTGGAGACCAAACAAGTCAAGAACATTGTGTGTTCTCTTTACAATGAGAAGTAGTTTTTCCATTAAAAGGCAGATGCTTCATTTCCAAAGGCTAAATTGAATGGTCCTTAAAAATGATTCCAGCTGGTTAACTTTAGGGCCCTGGCAAAGAAAATCCAATTCAAGAATACACTCCAATTAAAAATTCCACAGCATTAATTCATTAATGATTAATGAATGATTAATTCCACAATCACTTCTTGATGGTGAAGTGACTAATTTTCATTTACTCAAAGGCCTGGTGCTTGGCTTTTGGGTTCTCTGGGATGAGGCTGGCAGCTGTGCTGTGACTTCTGGTGGCACTTTGCTGCCTCCCCACCCCGACCCTTCTTCCTGGCCAGAGGTTAGGAGGAAACTCTCTGTAACAGTTGCTATCATGTACATCTTCCACCCAACTGCCTCTGGTTTTAACTCCCCATTTCTGCATTTTAACCCCAAGAAACTTCAATTCACCCAACCAAAGTCAGCAGTTCTTTCTCTTGGTTCATTCACACATTCATTCCTCTATCCATTCATTCAACAAATTGGGTGCTTACCGTCTCCTAGGAACTGTCCTAGAAGCTAGTAATAGGGTGGAGAGCAAAGCCAGGCACCATCCCTGCCTCCCTGAAGCTGTGATCCAAGTAGGGAGACATACTCACCAAGGAATCACAGACGCGAGGGTATGATTCTCAATGAGGTGATGAGATAGGTGCCCTGAAGGAAAGGAGTGTGACTCTGTGAAATCACATCACTGGGGAACCTCTCTGGATGTGGGCTGTAGGGTTAGAGAAAGCTTCCCTGAGGAACTGATGGCACTTGGGCTGGAACCCGAAGATGAGCGGTCATGAACTCAGGGAAGGTATGGGCAGGAGAGCAGGCAGGGGGGACAGTATGTGAGGGGCTCAATGCCAGGGGGCACCGTGGTTTATTTGAGGAGCCATAGGAAGGTGGCTGTGGCTGCAGCACAGAGAGTGCTGAGAGCAAGGAGGGAAAGGGAGTGAGGCTGCAGGCTGGGTTAGGGGGAGGGCTCTGGGGGTGGGACCCGCAGGATTGAGTTTTTATTGTAAGACCGATGGGAAGTCAGTGAGGGGTTTTAAGTGTGTGTGTGTGTGTGTGTGTGTGTGTGTGTGTGTGTGTGTGTGTGTGTGTTGGGGGAAAGGAACATAGGGTTGGTGGATGGCAGATTTTCATTTTCAAAGATTACTCTTGGTTGTGAGGAGATTTGCAGTGGCTTCTGTTACTACAGAAACTATGCATGATCTCTGACGTGCACCAGACTAAACCACCCTTTAAACCCATCTTTCTAGATGAAATAAGAAAATACTGAGTTCTAGAAAATGCCACTTTCTCTTTCATTGCCATTTAAAGATAGTTGAAAAATAGAGCCATGATTAACATTTATATGATTTGGCTAATCTTGATACTAGCTGGGGTTTTTGTATAATACCCAGGTTATTTGCATTTAATGAGATGTCAGCCTTGGGTGCTTCAAGATGAGAGCACCAAATCAGCTTAGCTCTAGGGTTGGGAGTAAGAATAGATGATAATGCTTCCCTTTTGAGGTTTCGGTCTAGGTTAGGCAGGCAACAACAGATTTCCACCTATTAGAGTTGCTATCTTAGAACTTTGAGTCACTCAGTCATTGGTAGACGGGGAGCTGTCCAAGGTTGTACTGGGGTGCTATTTCAAACACCCCTCTGGCTTTTCTGTCCTCTCCTTCTTTCCTCCACTTGCA